AATATTGATGATATTTGAACACCTTTATTGATTCTGATATCTCGTCAAGCATTTTTCTATTTTTATCATATAGATGAGTCATTTTTTATTTAAATAATACAAATTACTCCATTCATTCAGTTATCAACCCTTATTTTATCTTTTCATATGCAGTAGTGAAGTGAAAACTACATGATTGAAAGTGCATTATAAGTGATATAAACAATATGAAACACATAAATTCCGCCATTATAGTAACAAAAAAATATGAGCTTAGTAAGTGGATAAGAGTTTTTAACGTACCGGATGATGTAATAAATGCTTGGCCAGCATGGTTTATGGCTTTTCTTACTGAAGGAATTCTGGTACGGGCAATTTTCTGATATTGGAGAGAGAGCAAATTAAAGAGGCTTATCCATAATTCATAATATTAATTATGGGTAAGTTTGGATTGCCATAGTAAATTTTTTTATGATTTATAAACATGCCATTTACCAAAGGAACGCCAACGACAATAGCAGCCACTACAGCATACCTTGCTCCTTCAAAAAGTGCCTCTACAAAATTGAAATCATAGTTAACAGATTTATTAACTAAGAAAACAGAAAACAAATCTTTCCTTTTATACAATGTTACCATTCCAAGTTTTAGCTCTCATTTATCATGAACAACATGTAAACTACTCGCCCATTTTTCTAGTTTTGTAATTTTAGAATTCTAAAAATAAAATTGATATTCTCTTAATTAGTTCCAAAACGTTCATGACACTTTCTTGGTGGGTTATAATAAAAAGTTGTTCTCATTCTCGTGAAATGTAAAATGTCTCATGAGCATGTGGGTCTTCTGTAATTGGATCCAAATTTAATATGATAACAGGTAATGATCATGTTGTTATTTTTTTGATAGCCTTTGTTTGGATGAAGTGAAATTGACTCATTTGGAGGAGACTGCCTAAGGCTATGTTTGGCAGACATAAGTTCTCATCTTTTAACTTTTGTATTGTTCAAAAAGTTTCTAAAAGCTGCTAGTTGTATGTTTGGCATGACAATCTTTAAAAGCTTTTCAAAAATTAAAGGAAAAATTGAAAATAATAATCCCAACTATTGCCGGTCCGCTTAAAATAATCCCAACTATTGATTATTTTTGTATAATCCCAACTATATAGGCTATCCGCCAATAATGGTCCATGACCATATATTACCTCTATAAAAAGTGAATTTTAAATAGAAATTAAGTGTAAAAATTAAAAGTTGAGATTATTTATAAGGATTACTTGTTATATCTCATCTCATCCACTTTAGAAACTACAAGAAATTATTCATAGGGACCATTATTGGCGGAAGGTCCCTAAAGTTGGGATTATTCTGTAATAATCAATAGTTGGGATTATTATGAGCGGACCGCCAATAGTTGGGATTATTACTATCAATTTTTCCAAAATTAAAAGATCTTTTTTGAGATGCTACAAGGAATATCATCTGAGAAAAGCTCGTGACTTTTAGTACTAATTAATCCTAACAGCTTGTATACCAAACCGAACTAAATCAAACAGTCAGCTTTTTACCAAACAGCTACCGCATTTTCTTTTTAAGATCTTTTCAGTCACTAAAAGCTAACAGTTATTAAAAAGCTCACAAAAGTATCTTTTCGGCTAGTTGTGCCAAATTATTTTTTGAGAATCTTTTATGATAATTTAGATACAAATTTATTACTATCTTCGCCTCACTGGTTATGGAATATGAGAAAGTAATAAAGATATTAAGAGTGACATACTTATTTTTTTAACATTGAATTTGTGAGGTATAGAACAAATAGAAAAAGACAAATATTATCAAATTTGGTATATGACGAATTTAATGTGACGCCCAAGAAATATGAACCAAATATCGTTAATTACGAGAGTAATAGCGTCCTTTGCAAATTATACAAACATAATATAAGAATAATATTATGAGATAGGACACAAGGAGTAATGTTGAAAACACATCTATTCATGTACCTCTCACGACTTCTTGGGCCTTCGTGGAATTTGAGGATGTCATTCTTTCTTTAAACGAAGATGTTTATATATGTTCAAAAGTTTATTAGGAATTTACACATTTGAGACTCAAATCCGCAGCTTTCTTCATTGTACGTTAACAAAAATATGGAGGGGGCCTGAATGTTCTCTCGAGATATACTTTCATTTATAACTAACCGAAATTTTAGCTTAACCATTCTTCATATACATGGTTCATATATACTCTCTCCCTCCCGTCCCCTCTATATATATTCACATACATACATATATGTGACCTATCATTATTTTTTATTTGCAATCAAAGGACTATATTTAATTATTACATGTTCTTTTCTTTTCTTTCATGCATCAAGTCAACCACAAGTTCACAACATGTCATCAACCAACCTTGTGCATAGTGTCTCGGTGAAGAGTGGACTAGTTTATAGTTATGAAATGGAGAGTAATAAAATATTATTCTTTCGAACAAAATTTATGATGTGATACAATTATGTTATTTGACAATTTTTCAACAATGAGTAAATGTTAGTTTCTTAATGTTGTGTTGTATATGTTGATTGTCAAAATAAAGTTAGATTTTTGGTGGAATAAACTGCCAACCCATACTCTACATAATGCGGCAATTCACCATTTCGATGACATACAAAACTTCTATTGAATGTTAAAAGAAGTGTCGGTGTTTCATCATGCCATTCGGTGACATGTGAAACCTGCAACTCTCAAATGTAGACATCTGGTTATCGACCATCACCACCATCATCTACACAATCACAGAGAATGTGACTAAAACACAATCAATTTCCATAAGTATGACTAAAAATAATATGGCAATGAGACCAATAAAACCTTTTTACATTTTCAATAGTGTGAAACAAAAAAAAAATCACTACATGTCAACATTGATGGCGGTGATGGTTAACACCCGTCCTCTCCCAACCCTAATTTTCACAACCATACAGACAATGATGACAACATTGATGGTTAGTGGAGGAGGTGAGCTAAAGGAGGAGAGGGAGATTATTTAAGTGTTGTTGTTGGGTTTAAAAAAATAGTTTAAATGTTGTCAATAATTATTTGATATAAACATTAAACTCATGTTTTAGATCATTAAAATCAAGTTTTGCATTATTAAGTTCTTGATTTGAAATATAACTTACATACTCCCTCCGTTCTCTAATACTTGTCCCTCTTTTCATTTTGGGATGTTCTCTATTATTTGTTCTCCTTTCCATTTTTGGTAAGTTTTTTCAATAAATATACTCATTTACCCTCATTCGTTTTCATACTTTTTCCTTTACACACAACCCACTATACCTTTTATCCTACCCCTATTTCTTTTTTCTTAAATCTTGTGTCAAAGTCTATACTCCCATCTATTAGAGAACGGAGGGAGTATATATATAAGCTTACATTATACGGAGTATTAATTTATACTTAAAGTGATTAGGCACTTGGCTGGGCCGCATATTGTCCAACTGTTGTGTCAACTTAACCATGAGACTTGCGCAGGGCCGTCTAGAGCAATTATGAGGTCCTAGACGATCATATATTTTGTTCAAATGAAATATCAAATGAAACATAAGTGAATTAGATGAAATGCATCATATTATAAAAAAGATTATGTATAGTAGCTATCCATAGAGTTTTTTTTGCAGCTAGCGATCCATAGAGTTAGCAAGCGATTTATACTCATGTTCTTTCTTAATTTGTTCTTTCTCTTTGTACATCTTGAGACATGCTTTCTTTTTCTCGTCACCAATTTCATACAACTTTATACAATTTCTAACTAGATAAAGTTTTTCTAACTTTCAATATTCAATAATACAGGTACAATTAATCCATTGTAGAAATATACAACAAATTAAATGACTAGATTGAATTATTATTATTATTTGGATTTTGGTTTATTATAATAGATTGATACACCCAATACTTAATAGCCTAGGCCCTACACCGCCTATTACCTACTGCCATAACCGATTAAGTAGTAAAATATTAATAATTAAAGGTAAACAAATTAAAAGATAAAACAATAAAATCAATAAAGGAAGGATTTGAAGCTGCCAGAAACAAAGAAAGACAAGAAAGTTAGAAATTACAAAAGTCGAAGACCATTATGGCATTACGGAAACAGATGCCTCGACTCTTCCGCATGTTTTTACTTGATATAGGAGATATTTTATCACAATTAACAATTTAAATTAAACATAATATATAATATATATGGGCTTACATAAAAAATTGGAGGCCCCAAGAATTTGGGGGCCCTAGACAATTGTCTAGGCTGCATGCCCCCATGGCCGGCCCTGGACTTGCGCATGGCTCGGGGCAGACATTCGTCAGTTTTTGTTTTGTTTTACATTTTAATAGTTTTTGTGAAATATACCCCGTATGATAATATGTGTGTTTTCTTTTGTAGACTTGCTTTAAGATGTATTTGGATCTACTTCATAAAATTGTTTCTGCTCCCTCAATGAGCAGAAACAATTATTGGAGTGCTTGAGTGAAAGTGTAGACATACTTGTAAGTGTTTTAAATTACTCCTAAAAGTTGCTTAGTTATAAGTTGAGGGAGACCCGCTGATGTAAAACTGAGTCTGATTTCACTTTTGATTTTGAAAAAGAAGTTGAAACACAATTAATTCCTATAGGTCGTTTGGCAGCACTGTTTTTCGGCTTATCAGGCTTATCTGCCAACTTTTTCACCAAAACACGTAATTTTTACTTTCGCACGCTGAGTTGTGTAATAAGCAGAAAAAGTAAGGCTGAAGTTACTTTTCTGGCTGTTTTGGCTGAAGTTACTGTAGATGACCATTTTAGCTATTTTAACATATAATTTTTTATTTATTTTATTAATAAAATATATTTAAAAAATAATTGTTTCTTAAATCAGTAGCATCAGCCAATGCAGCCACTTCAGTCAGAACTTCAGAAATTTCAACAGAAGCAACCAAAACAGCTGATTTTCGTGCTACCAAACGGGCTCCTAAAGTACAATACCTGATACTCTGGGTCCTGAGTTGTAAATATGCTTTTTGGCGCTCAAGCAGTAAAACCCTACTCTTTAGGAAGCACTGAAGTGCTTGAATCGTTGTCATCGCGTAAGTGTAGCAGATCAATCGGAGTTCTGATTTGGGACGAAAAATGTCTGGATTAAGACTCTTCACCGTCAGAAACAGTGCCGGAGAACCAGTCCTAGACGCTGGTAACGGTGAGGAACTAGTGCATGTAAAACCCGCCGTATCCCTTGTGCTCGGCAACCACCTTCCTCTATGCCCTGGAACTCTTTACATCACGACCAGGTATGGCCTTATCGTGATCTCTATCCTTTCATGGGGTTATGCTGTTTTTTTTAGTTTTATATGACTTTTAGTAGTTAAATTTTGAAGGCAAGTGGTATGGTTGAGCGATACAGACAAAGAAAGAGGCTATGCGGTCGATTTCTTTCATATTTCACTTCATGCTGTGTCAAGGGATCCAGAAGCTTACCCCTCTCCTTGTTTATATGCCCAGGTAAATTTTATTGTAAATCCTATAGGATTTTGAATTGCACTTCCCCTCGTTGGGAATTTAAAAAAATTAGTGATCTTGTGTCCATCCTTATTGTATTAGGAATGCCAGTATGATAGTTCTATTACTTCTATATTTTGAGATTCTAATGAAACAGCTAAGTGGGGTTTACTAATTGAGAAATCTTTTCTAAGCTGAAAATTATAGATCTAAAGTAGTGAACATTTTTTTATTGATTCTCCTTTTGCATTCTGCAATTTCTCGAATGAAATTGTTCTGAACGGACCTAAGTTATGTGGCATTGGTTTCTTGCCTATGTTTCTTCTAATGTTCTTAAAAGCTTCTTAGTCACAGACAGCTGTATTGGCTCTGGTTGTACTATATTTATTTTCTCATGAAAAGTGTTCGTATATTATGGACAACGTTACTAAATATAAAATATTTCTTCAGTATATTCAAATCATGTGTTTACTTGTACAATGTATACATCAAGTAAAAAGAACATATTTGGTTTCACTTTTGAAGATTGATATTGGGGATGAGGATGATGACTTAGAGGGCACTGACAGTGAGCATAATGAAACATTAGATCTATCGAAGATCACTGAGATGAGGCTCGTTCCATCAGATCCTAATCAAGGTGATGTGCGTCTATGTTCTTCCTATTTGCTTCAGTTTCTTCTTGGTATAAACCTTACACTATTTTTTAATTACTATCATGGGTTTACTTTTTAAAATTTATGTGTTGGTTTTACTAGATTTATAATGTGCTAGTTGTTTGACTCTTTTTTTGGCAAACTGCATGAGACATTTGGTGAGTTTGGTCAAAAGTAAGCTCCCTTTTTGGGAGAAATGAAGTGTGATAATGATTCAGGTTTTTTGGGTGTTAGAAGGGAAATTCTGTTTTTATCATCATCATCAACATTATTATTATTGTTATATATTAGATATTATTCATTACTTCCATGCTGTCAGTGGAGAGGACTTATTTTAGTTTCCCTTTTTGGTGATGCTATAGTGGAAGAGCTGTTTCAGTTTTTTTGTGAATGCGCGGAGTTAAATCCTGAACCTATTGAAGGTAATTATCATTTTTGTATTGACCTCTACTTTTTCTTCTGTTCACCATCATTACTATAACTTTGTTTCTGTCTTCACTTCTCTAGAGGAGGAGGAACAAGAGCACAATTGGATTTTTAGTGCTGAGCAGTTAGAAAACGAGACAGCTGGTATGAGCTAAAATGGGACTTCGATTTGTTGTTTTGCTTATGTTTTCTTTCTATTTCTATACCTTAACCAAGTAAGTAACCTTGCCGAAATTGCAGACGAGATTGAATCTGAATGGATGAATAGCTCAATTCCAATTGGTTGTTCTAATGGAGATGACCTATCTCATGCAGTGCTTCAGGTTCCTTAATGTACTCTCTGTATAGGATTTTAATATTTGTTTGGTTGGAGGATTTTGGAGGGGAATGAATTAAAGTGAAGTTGTTTTGTTTAGGAGAGTTAATGAGGAAGTTAGGGAGGAAGAGAGTCGGTGAGCTATAAAAGCATCCAAACCCTCAGATTTCATTCCCTCAATTCAAAAAATCTGGGGGTTTGTTTTTATTCATGATTTCTTTCACTTTTCCCCTCAAAATTGTTCTGCATTATTATTAATGGATTTATTGGCATATGTGTGTGTTTACTGTTTAGTACTATGTATATTTCTTTTAAAAATAATCAAATGCTACACTTTTATACAGTATCCCCAACATGCTATTATATTAATTTCTCTCTGCTTCATTGGACCAAACATAATCCTTTTTTAACCACTTCAAAGTACCTTCCCTCTCCCACATTTCTTATCCTAGTTGTAGTTGGTTGTGTGTGCAACTGTTCCGAGATCCCCCCTCCCCTTCCCTCATTTATTATTCACCCTCCTTCCAACAAATTTGCTGCCGAAGATGGTATCATGATTCTGCCAGTTTTGGATGCAGCTTCAAGTTAATGATAATCGATTTGAGGATGCTGAAGAGATGGATAGTGATGATATTAACCAACATAGAGGATCTGCTACCTAGTAGAAACTACATACTACGATTTAATATCATTCTTGCTATTAGTACCATGTAACATTTCTGTTTGTTAGTATTGATGACATGGAGTCATGGTGTATGCCAATTACTAATTTAACAGAAGCAAGTAGAGTTTGCAGTTCATATTTGACAGAATTGCCCCTTCAGTTTTTTTTAGCTTTGAAAGTCTGTTGTGTAATCCAAGTATGTTGTGCTTTGATAGCAGCATCCTCTTTAGCTTTGAAAGTCTGTTGTGTAATCAACATTCTCCAAATAATGTGCAAGATATAAAGTAGGCTCCAAACTTGTTTTGGTAACATGACAGTTTCACAAACAAAGGGTATTAATGTTTAGACAACATGATTTGAAGCAGATGCCAAGATAGATATGCATTTTCGTTATAGTTCAGGAGTATAATTTACAAATTAGTTGGTTGGTTGTGATTTGTGAACTTGAAAGATAAGGACCAGAAGTTTGTGTTTTGAGAGTTCACTTGTTACTTCAAGAAGTTCATGTGGTAAAAAGAAAACCCTCTCACAGAACATTCTCAAACTCAAGAAGATATTCTATTCTGTAAATCTTCCGAGCAAAACTGTAAAACCACTGTACCAATACCACCACTATTTTACGTCCAGAAACACATGGTAAATTGGTAACCTCTCAACCCTTGCAAGAACAACCAATCCATCTTGAGATTCCACTCAACTGTTATATAACTAATGAGACATGCATGACCTCGATGAGGCAGTGGGACTGATAGATGGCATCTGTGTAACTTACTCCACCATTTTTATCAGCTTCTTTCTCTGTTAGTTGAATAGTTGGGTGGAAAATTAATCACAATTTTATGTAATTTTGTTGTTTTCTTAGAGCCCACTTGGTAATTCATATTTTCATCTTATCAGTTTTTTTCCAAACATGTAATTTTTAATTTTGGTTCACTAATTGTGTAATAATCAAAATAATTGTGGTCATAGTAACTTTTTGGTTGAATTGATTGAACTTACTTTATACACTATTTTAGTTATTTTTCATATAAATTTTTCTTAACTTTATGGACTAAATATATTCTAAATATAATTTTTCATAATTCAGCAGATTCAACCAATTCGGTTAATTAAGTCAAAATTTCGTCAATTCCAGCAGATTCAGTCGATTTAGCCAACTACAATGTCATCAAATGGGCTGTTAGTTACGACTTAAATTAGTAAGTAGCAGGGGCGGACCCAGGAAATTGATATTGGGGGGGCGATAATTTAAACAAAAAAATCTAGGCGATTATTATCATAAGTTATAACCTTAATATAATACGGAGTAGTAATTAAATGAAGCATTATAATAAAAGAAGAGACAAATATATTATTACAAAATAGTTAAAGTTATACCTTAGAATTTGTGCCCAACGCTTCTTCAACGAGATAAATTCCTCAATCACGGCTTTTTAGTCAAAAGTTTTAGCAATTTCTCTTTCAATATAAACATTAAGGTTGTCTGCAACATACTCATCCTCCGTTTTATTGCGAAGCCTTGTTTTTATAATTTTCATTGCGGAAAAAGTCCTTTCGGTTGTTGCTGTCGAAACCGGTATAGTCAACAAAAGTCGGATCAATTTATCAACAAGCTAAGAAAGTACACTTTTGACATCTCCGTCTCCGCTAATCTTTGACAAAGTTCACCCATTGTAGAAAAATTCGCCAACTTTGGATGGTTTAGAACATTGAGCTTATAATGTTGCAATTGAAACCTCAAGCTCACCTTCTCCTGCTCAATAAAATCAAAGGGGTAATATTTATCCACTAAAGAACAAATATCATCAATGTTAAAAGACTTATATGAGTCCTTAGGATCCAAAGCACCACTAAGAGTAAGAAGATCCATTATCTGTTCACCGAATCTGCTATTCAGCTCCAACAATTGTGAATCTATGGCTGCGTAAAACATATCAACCCGATAGTGACGTTCAATATCAAAACCCTTCTTGATCACGGCGTTTGCGTTTTACCGCATAAGGAGACTTCATATTAGGAACTTCAATTTCATGCTTTGTGCAAAACTCTTTAACAATTTCTAAGAAGTTATCCCATCCACCCTCCCTTAACTTTTGGATCAACATTTTGGTGCTTGACACCAAATGCATAGCATTTACTATGTCTTGGCACTTCTTCTGTATATGCTGACATAGAAGATATGTAATAATGCCCATAATTTCTTTAATAAGATGCAACAAGAAAACAAAATCAAAAGATTTAATCTTCTTAAGTTCTCTAGCCGCATTTCCACGAGTAGAATAGTTATTGCCATTCTCTTCAACATCTTCTAAAATAGAACAAGTTGCAGCAAACATCCTAATCAAATTGCAAACAGAACTGAAATGCGAGCTCCAACGAGTTCCCCCAACTTGCTGTAATGTACCAACCTAATTAAGTCCTCTGCTTGTTTCAAGCTCACCAATTTCCAACATTCTTGCAAATTCAAGTGCTTGAGCTTCCTTTAATTCGTCACTTCGTTTGCAAGAAGAATTAGTCACATTAATAATAAAGACGATGAAAAAATTGTGCACATATTTCACCTCTCTAGAAGCAGCAACCAATGCTAATTGCAACTGATGTGCTAAGCAATGAACATAGTAGGCATATGGACAATCATTTAAAAATAATCGATCTTTCCGTTTCTTTCTTTTAGGTGCGCATGTTTTTCATTAGTTTGGTCAGGGCTGTGGGCTGGGATTAGATTTTGGGATGGGTTAATGGGGAATAAATTTTGGAGTGAGTTGATATAATATTACTTGTAAAATTTCTATTTTTTAGGCTCTTAAACAATTGAGTTTCTGCGAGTGGGCTATGCTTTGGGGGGGTTCAAAATTTTTCTTGGAGGGGCGAGAATTAAATGTTGGGGGGGTAAAAATAAAATTTTTGTATATATATACACTAAAAAAAATTGTTGGGGGGGGGGGGGCAGCCCCCCTGAGTCTGTACTACGGTCCGCCCCTGGTAAGTAGTATAATTTAACAAGTATGATAGGCTTTACAGCTTAATGTTTGACAATTAGAGTATTAGACTTATATGTTTGGGCCACTTTTAGAAAAATGTCGTTAAAGTTATAATTTGTGAAAGTTGATTATCATAAGAATTAATATTCCTTCTAGATATATTTGACTGAACTTATATATTTGTATTTACCTGAACTTATATATATATATATATATATATATATATATATATATTTCATGAAGTTTAGGAGTAAAAATAGTACATGAGTAATACTACCTCCGCCCCAAAAAAATCTTCTCACTAACTTTTTTGGAAAGTCCCAAAAATTCTTCTCAGTTTCATCTTCGTAAAGATTTGTGTGACTATCATTCATTTACCTTTTTGTTACTCAATCACAACCATACATTTCCACTTTATTTTCACTTTCTTAAACTCCGATCCAAGTCAAATTGGAAAGAATTTTCCGGGACGGAGGGAATACTATAGAGAAAGAGAGAGTGACTTGCGAAAGTGCGGAAGATAATATGAAAAGTAGAAAAAGTAAGTATATTTATGCATTAGTAAATGAAAAAAAATTATCAAAATAGGAAAATGTTGCATATAACAAGATATTTTCAAACAAAAACATGTAGAAACTAAATAAAAACGCCAGATTACTACTTTTAAATTAATTATTTGGAGATTAATAAAAGTGGTCCGATCAAAATTCAAATTACTATGACTAGACATAGATGACATTATTAGTAAACGGTCCCTAAAGTTGATACTACACTTGAAGAATCGATATTTGATATTATTAAAAATGGACCAGTAATATTTGTGATTTTTTTTCCTAAAAAAATTATTTTGTGATTTTTTTCCTAATAATAATAATAATTGAAGTTCAAAAAATTATTTACTGATTCTTGGAACAAACTCGGGCCAGTGTTGTTTAACGGGCTAACTGAACATTTTAATTAAAATTTTCCTCAAGCCCATTACCGCACCCTAGATCATCATCATTTCAAGGGTATATAATCTTCCCATTCGGCACTTAGACGGCCTCTGCCATTTCTAGAGTTCATCTTCCACATCCAGTCCCAGGTATTTCATTTTCTAAGATCAAATCCCCACTCTTCGTTGCTTCGATTACAATATTTAGCAAATAGAAAGTCTTGTTTTGAACTATACAGATATGAAGCTCAATTTACGGATGCGTTTATTAATTAACAGACTTGTAGCTCTGTAGAAAAAAAGTTGCAAATCTGATTTTTTGTTAGTAATGCCAGTTTTAAAATTTGTTTTTTACCGTTAATATTTTTTCGTTGCTCTCAATTTGATCTTTTTTTAAGTCTCATTAATCTGGTTATTATGAGATTGAAATGAACTTATGTTCTGAATAAATTAGATAAAAAAAAAAAGAAAACAATTCGTAGCATAAATAAATGCTTTATTGATATAGGCTTAACAATTTATACCTACTCCATATAGCTATTTGTATATTTACCCAAGAGAATATATTTCAACTCCGTAGCTATAAATCATAATGTGTCCATGTTTGTATGTGTATATAATACACTGAGGTCCCATGCCAAAATAACATGGTTATTTAGACAATAATTATACACGGTTAAAAGTTCTAATTATTTCCTAAAATAGAAATGAAAACCATTGGTTAGGACATCCAAAGAATGAAAGGGGAACCTTAAGCTGGGATGGAGAGAGTAGTATATAAATCATTCTGTGTCTATGCTTGTATATAGTTCTGGTTTAATCCAAGTCCTAATAATAACAAACATTTGAACCATTTACATATCATTATTTATCAAACTGTAACACGAGATTGTTTTCTATTTGTGATGACAGGGATCTTAATCCTATATTCGTAAGTGAACAGCCTCTAGTTATGGCTTATAAGGCGGTTAAGACCACAAAGCCTGGGCTGGAAGAGCCACAGGAGCAAGAGCACAAAATCAGAATCACTCTGTCATCAAAAAATGTGAAAAACCTTGAGAAAGGTATGCATTTTACACTCAAATGTGTCTTAAACGTACAACCATTAACCCACACACATATTCATTCATATTAATTCTTTAAAATAAATTTTGATCACGCCTTATTTTATGCATCTGAAGTTGTACAAGAAGTAATCACTACAAGTGAGGTGTAGGGAAGGTGGACACGTTTTTTCAATCTTCCCTAATCTCTTTTATTTGTTCTGTTACATTTCCAAAATCCATTTTGTATACCTTTTTACGCCCATTACTGTTAGGTTTAAAATGTTTTGCCTTTTTCTCATACAATGTCATTAGAAGTTTTTCTCTGTTCTCTGTTGGTGCATTCGGTATCACCATCAGTTTTTTTGTTGGTATACTTAATTAAAATTGTAAATTATATAGTTTGTATCATGACCTAAAAATCAATCAAACTTACACAACTCGTGCTAATTTTGGAAACAGCAAACAAAAAGGTGCAAACAACTTTTCATGGTTTTCAGTATTTTATTTTTAAGCTTTAAAACATGAAACTGAAAGCAGAAAAATAAGTAGTACCTAACAAGTCCTGACGTTTTTATGCTTAAAAGTTTCTTGATTGGGATAAACCTGATATCTCTCCTGTTTCACAACGTTTAATGGTCAAAGCTTGCATTTTCCATTGCATTGAGATATCTCATATCTCCTACTACGTATTTCTGTAGCTTATCTGACTTAATTCATTGTACTATTGGAATCCTAACATACAGTTGCATTGATTTTTTCATCAGTTTGTTCTGACTTGGTTCGTGGGGCCAAGGACAAAAGGCTTAGAGTTAAGGGTCCAGTCAGGATTCCCACCAAGGTTCTCCTTATCACCACTAGAAAGTCTCCATGTGGAGAAGGTATTTGTTTTTCATTGTTGGTTATGTGAATTTTTAAATTATTGGGATAAGATAATATGTTTGAGCTATTGCAATAATTTGCTGTTTAGGTGTTAAGATGTATTTGGGATTCTTCTTCAATTGACCATATTTTGTCTTTTGCAAATTAAATGATGCACAATTGCAACAGTTTAATCTGGGCATTATACTTCTTCTATCACTCTTATTTAATTGTTTTTCATATTAAATCATTAACAATTGCAAATGGGTTTCAGAATCAGCAATATTCAATATATTACTCTTTGAGATAATGATAAATATATGACTGAAATAAAGACACTGGCCAAGATGTGACTTAGTGATGACCATAGTAAGCAGAGTGGTCATGGTTCTGTTCAAATATATAGTGACTATGCGTAGCAACTATAGTACTGTGTAATATTTTTGTCCGTAAATTATATTTCAGTAATATTCAAGGCAAAATTTCCATTTTTTTAAAAATAATTGAAGGATATTATCCTACTATTTTTGCTTGCTTGTGTGATGTCATTAGCTGTGACTTGCAATATTAATCAGAGACAATTTGGAAATGGTTGATGAGTCATTTTAACTAAATTTTCCTGAAATTGCAAATAATTTCTGATTCTAATGGAGATGATAACTTTCTCCTGAATGTTGGTTTGGTCTTCAGGAACCAACACATGGGACAGATTTGAGCTAAGGGTGCACAAGCGTGTCATTGACCTATTCAGTTCACCAGAAGTTGTGAAGCAGATCACCTCAATCACCATTGAACCGGGTGTAGAGGTTGAGGTCACTATTGCTGATCCTTAGATCAACTTTGAGTGTGTTAGGCACTCACGGCTTGCTAAGCCTTGTTTTTGCTTTGTACTATCTCTGTGAGTTATGGGTCTCTTCTGAATTTCCCTTCTTGCCTCCAACCTCTGTAGACATTATGTATGAGTTTTGTGTTTTTGATGAAATATGGTGGAACATCTTTGTCGCGAAATCTTACTCCGTATTGTAGAATATTTTATTTGATCTTTTACATCTTTAAATTGTGTTATCATACAAACCATTGAAGCTACTAATTTGTGGTGAATATGTTTAAATTGGTTTAATTGGTCAATATGTTTAAATTGTCTGACGACTCTGACTAAACAAATTTGTGGTGAAGTCATACTAACCCTAGTCTCCCTATCTTGCCATCTTGGGCATAGTGGACCTTTTCATCATGAATAAAGATTTATAGAATCGATTCAGAATGGAACCTGTGCAGCTGTACTGAGATTTGGTTTTCTGGTTGTTCATGGATAGTGATGGACTGGGCCGCCGGTTAGGAAGTGTTGGGCCTGGGACCGGCCCGGGTAGCCACCGGGGCCGGGCCTCGGGCCTCTTACATTTTTTTTCCTTTTTCTAAATACCCCCGACCCCCCCCCCTCAAACCTCAAATCACACCAAATGGCCCAAAATACTCAGCCCAACCCGAAATTTAAAAAAAAGTTGAAAAATAAAAAGCCCGGAACTGGGCCCTACCGGCCGGGCCGGTTCATGTTCTGGGTGACCCGAGCCCGGATTGGAAACCCCTCGGGTTGGGCCTACCCAGACCGGTCATTGGCTGGGCCACCGATTCGGGCCGGGCCGGAATAGTGCCGGTCCCGAGACGGTTCCGGGTCGGGCCACCCGGCCCGAGTCCACCACTATTTATGGATGGGTTTTTAAAATTGGGAAATTGTCAAATAGGTCCTCGAACTTTCATAAAAAGGTCAAACAAGTCCTTATATAGGAGGCTCTGCTCGGCAGTCGTGATTTGAGGCGGTTCCAGTGGAATATTTTGATGAATTTTTTTGAGCATATCTTATTCATCAAGTCTAGTTTACTCATATCAAATTTCAGTTAAAACTTCAATCGAGAATCATTCAAATTAATTCTTGAAAATAACTACACATTTAACTGCACAGTTATAGTGAATAGTGAATGCTAAACTCCTCTTCTTACTTGGTTCCGAATAAACGTAGAAACAAGTGGAGATTTAACAACAAATTTTATGTTTCCACCACTCTAGTCTCTACGCAACCTAAGAGAAGACATGCAGAAACTTCTTGCCATGCAAAGTTGCCTATGACACCAAAACAACTCCCCACAGTCCCACATCGAAGCAAACGAAACACAACGGAGTGCAAGTGTCGAGAAAAGAATCGTCATAAAATAAAACAAACACCAACAAAAGAAGAGCGATCTAGTTGGAAAATTAGAAACGGGCAACGAAGAAAATTAGAGAACTCACGTCAAGCTGGTGAGAGACCATCCCGTCAATCAGATCGCCCATTCATACTGGTCGCTCCTTCACCATTGATCTTCGCTACAACATTGTCTCGTTGTTGGGGTTTCTGCTCAGCTTCGTTTGTTGAGAAAGGGATAGAGGGCGAATTGGTTCTTGTTTAATGACAACACTTAACACCACTTTTATAATCTTCACAATACCGTACAATTATTTTATTTATTTTGGAAGAACAGGTATAATCTTTCCCTCATTTGCGATGGAGTCAAAGATTCATTATTTTTTGGCTTGAAAATATGATGAAATAAAGCAAAACGATTCACTAAATTGTCTGCGCTTCTTTGTTATGAAGCAACAGTCAGTCCATACAATTTTGGACGCGATTTTCACTATGGGTTATCCGGAAACAGTCTCTCTGTGCTTTAGTACAGGGGTAAGATTGCGTACATCTGACCCCCTACCCCACCGTAGCTGGGAGCCTTTGTGGCACTGGAGTAAATGAAAATGATGATGATGACTCGAAGATTCCTATATAAATTAATAAGGAAATATTATTAAATGGATAACTTATCAAGCGTTTTTTTTATTTTATAACTCCTTGATCTATAATTTCTCCCCAAAATAATGTGTACACATTGACCATTGTAGCCATTTATAAAAGCAATATAAAATTTTGGAAATCATCTCTCTGTCGTTTAATTTCATTCGTTTCCCATACTTTTGAAATACTATATATCAATCAATAGAAGAATTTGAGCTACCTCTAAGACAGAATGACTCATTTCTAAATACATTAAGATTTCATAAATCCTAAAATGTCTTAAATGAATAAATGAGAGACATTTTTGGAAAGATAATTCAACGTAGTGTGGGCATGGGTTGTCTAAGTACCATTCGGTCCATTTTAACTTAGCTACAAGTTGAATTAAATAATATGAGGATGTTTTTCAAAGTATGCAACTATGTATGGGTATATTCGGATGCCCCAATGGCCAATGTGCTTGTGATTCAGATGCTTTTATATAGTATTTGATTGAAGCAAATTGATTACATATTTAAATGAATATTTGAAAGAGGAATAACTCAATAATGTGTAATTAGTTAATTACAATGTAATATGCTGTGAGCCCCGTAGTGTTTTGACATTTGTATATTTACGTGGTAATTCTTTGAGAAGCAATTTCTTAACATTTCAAGATATTACAACACAACTTGCGATAACGAGAAATATTTTTATCACTAGTTTAAGAGGAAAAGTGGAAAGGCTAAGGACCTGTTTACTAACAGAGATATTTTCCTGTTTTCTAATTCTGTTTTTCATTCTTCAATTTTCTGTTTTTATTTTTCAGTTTTTCTATCTCCAATTTTCTGTTTCTATTTTTTAGTTTTCCATTTTCAAATCTGAAAACATGTTCATCAATTTTTTCACCCAGTTCTCCAATTCCACACCCTTGACCCCTACCCTTACCACGATCTTACACTCTACCCATACTCCCCCACAACCCTTCATACCCACCCATACCTACTCGGAGGGGTCGGGGTAGGGAAGTTATTGGTGGGGGTGGGGTAAGGGGTATGGTCGGGGTGGGGTGGTAAGGTCTAGGAGTTGGGGGTTGGGTGGGGGTAGTGGGTGGGTTAGGGTCGTGGTTAGGGGTAGGGGTGGGGTAGTGGGTAGGGTTTGGGGTAAGGTAGAGGTAGGGTATGGAGTTGGGATAGGATGGCAGTAGGGTGGGGCTGGGACCAGGGTGGGGCTGAGGTAGGGAAGGGGTAGGGGGTAGGATGGCGGTAAGGGTGGGGGTAGTGGGTAGGGTTGGGGTTGGGGTAAGGTATAGTAGGGGTAGTGGGATATGGTGGGCCCATGATCTGGGTGGGGCCGAGGTAGGGAGCATGGGTAAACATGGTTGAAATTTCCTCCATGAAATTTCGAACTCGAGACTTTGTCATATGGAGGAGTGCGTCGATGGCCAGCTGAGCTGGACTGCTTTCTCAAATATTGAATTGTTGCTACCCCTTTTCACCCGTGAAAGGAGAAATAAGAAGGTTGCATGCACCAAAGAGAAAGGAGAATGTATGGTTGCAGGACCTAGGGAAACAAGCCCTAGTTTCTGCAAAGTGATAATTTTTTATTTGTACTCCAATTGTTACAAAAAAGTATATTAAATTCATAATTTTTGTCATATTTAATGACACATATATTGCATATATAGAGTTTAACTGCTGGATGTTGTTAGGTCGATATTTTTTTTATATAGATGTAAGTGTTAAAATTAAGATCTCATGATTAAAATATTTTTCAATATTTTTACGTTTCAAATTGTTGCACAAAAATATATTCAAAAATAACTCGGTCTCTCTCTAGGCTAGCCGCTAGGGTTTGTGCGTCCGTTTTCGATTCCGGTCGGAGTACGGCTCGGGCTTTGTTCATTCCCGCAATCGCTATCGCGAGGTTCGGCTAGGTGCTCTTGGTACGGTGTGGTTCGTCAGACTCCGGTTGCTCGGCGTTCTTGCTTTTGGTTTTGGCCGAGAAGGAGAGGAGGGGAAGAATCAGAGTAGGGGGTTTAGCAGATGGATGACATAGTCAACAACTACAAGAAGATGGCTATCGGAGAGGAAGACAATGAACTTGATTTTGATGAGGAAGAAGCAGGGGAGATGGATGTTACCGACGAGAAAGTGGTGTCCTCGGTGGTCGGCGTTGTGCTTACGGACCGGAAAATCAAGCTTCCGGTGTTCCAAGATCTGTTGGCTTCAATTTGGCGCCCGGGGAAAGGAGTTGCAATCAAGGAAATTGGAGATAAAAGGTACTTTGTCAATTTCTATCATGATATAGATATGAATCACGTGCTTGAGGATGACCCTTGGTTGTTGAAAGAGATTTAATTCTCTTGAAAGATGTTCAGCGAGATGATATACCTGAAAAGTTGAATTTGTATGAGGCTGAATTTTGGGTACCAGTTCACAATGTTCCTTATAATTTTAGGAATTTGGGTTCTGCTAGGAGAATTGGAAACTATATATATTGTCACATTTATTAGTTTTTATAAGAACCAGTTCGAGGGAAATTGGAAATCTTACTTGAGAATTAGAGTTTGTATGAATGTGAGAAAACCCCTAAAGAAGGGCACTAGTTTGAAGAAAGAAGAAATTGGGCATTGGATAGATTTTAAATATGAAAAGTTACCCTATTTTTGTTTCATGTGTGGGGTGATTGGGCATTCGGATAAATTTTGCCCCATGAAATATGAGGAGGAGATTGTACTAGAGAAATCCTTTGGGGTCGAACTCAGGGCTGCTAGAGGGGTGAAGACTAGCCCAACATGGAGGAACAAATGGCTAGCGGATGAGTCCTCAAACTCCGGGGGGTTTGGCCAACAGCGGAAGACTGATCTCGGGGGTGATGGAATAGGGGCACAGGATCGATGCGAGCACTCGACAGAGACAAATGCAAGTGTGTCAAAGCAGGGTGGGACAGGCGACATGGAGGAAATGCGAGGGGAGATGAAGCACAAGAGGATTTGGGAAGACCAGTCAAAAGAAAGTACAGCCGGTGAAGGCGTGACGCTAGATGCGTCAAAAAATGGGGATGCGGCGGGTTTAGGACTCCTAGACCCGCTGGTGGTACACTTGGTGATTCTACTCAGGAGAACGGGTGTTGGTGTTTATTTTATTGTTGTTTTGCGTTTCTATTTCCACAGTCAGACTGATGTGTTTTGTTTTTACTCTCTCCTTTGCTGTAAAACTCTTGCATTAGGTATGTGGGATGAGAGGTCTACGGTAATCGTCGTTGGCTTTATTATGCCCAAGTTGGGACTAGCGAGTTATATTGTTTTGTCAAAGGTGGTTAACTCAGAGTCGCGTCCAAGGGCGGATGATTACATGTGGTCCTTTTGTTATCTTACACCCTATCGGAATGCTATTTTATCAATTTAAGCCCACTTCGATAAATTAATTATTTTTACATCCAAATGTTTGACTTTTAAATTATTAACAAGAAGTCACTAAACATGATGTATGATACAGAGTTTTAAAGGTAAGGTTTTAATTAAAAATTTATTTGGTGAATATATTAACGATACTAGATTGCAAGAGAAATTAAATTAATCAAGTGAATACGAAATTTTCTGGAGAATTTGATTTATTCGCCCACCTCAATAGCAACTAGCCTAACAAAATTGTAATAAAATGAACTAAAATGATTTAAGAATTCGTGCACACTTGGTATATATATATATATATATATTAAAGATCACACTTAGTATATGTTAGTGATAAAATTTGGGTCAAATATAGTCATTGATCTAAAGTGAATTGAAACTCTTGTTTTCAAAGGATTAGAACATACTCCTACCTTATTTCAAAATTCACTACAATACACTTTGACACATTATTTAATAAAAAAAAGTGTAACACACTTTTATATACATAGTTGAACTATAATTGAACTTGTTTCATAATTATAGTTAGGGCTGACCATATCGGTTTTCGGTTCGGTTTTTATCGGTTTCGCTTTGATTTGGTTTGGAACGGGTTGGAAAAATTGTTAGTTGTTACCAAACAAAAACCATACTATTTTTCGGTTTGGTTCGGTTTGCATTTGTTAAAGTTTAATAATATATGAAGTATGAAGGTTTTTTTGAATTTCTTTAGTTCAATCGGTTTTGTTCGGTATTTATCGGTTTCGGTTTGATACAATTTTAAAGAAATAATACCAAACTCAAATCAAATTGCATGCGGTCTGATTTCGGTTTGATTGAATTCGATTGGGTACGATTAGATTCGGTTAAACCAAACCGTTATCCCCTAAATTTGTACTACCTACGTTCTTTTTTATTAGTCCTTCTTTCCTTTTTGGGACGTTTTTTTTTTATCTGTCCTCCTTTCCATTTAAGGAAAGTTTTTACTCTAAACATACCTTTATACCCCAACTTTTATTACCATTACCCCTTTCTCTTTCCTACTTTTTCATTTACCCACTACTCATTACATCTTTTACACTACCCCTACTATTTTCCTCTTAAAACCCGTGCCAAAGCCTAGGAGGACTAATATTAAAGAAAAGAGGGAGTACTTGTTTCGGCAAAAGCCCATTGGTAAACAGAAATAATTGAATTATAGTGGGCCAAAAGCATTTAGCTCGTCAATTAATTAACGTATACACACATGACTTTGTAATAAGTTCTATAAGTGATGCTTACATGTCACTCCTTGGCGTTAGGCTTTAGGGTTTCTTTTTCCGAAGGAGCAGATCATTTGGTAGGGTTTAAGGATTTTGCAGGAGCTTGTCCAGGCTAGGAGCTCAGCCAGCCATGGGGTTTTGGGGTCAGTTTCGTTTTGTTACTGTAAATATTTTATGGTCTATAACCGAAGTGCAATAATAGAAATTGAAGTTTTTGCGTTTAAAACTTTCGTCCAGGGATTGAACTTAAACCAGGAAAACCGTATGCTCTTGAATTTGAGGGAGATAGGGAAAGACTCCATCTTTCACAGGTTTGGCTAAAAAATTTCGGTTTCCTTGACTAGCTTAAATTTTCACTTATTGTCTCTAACAACTGTTGAATTTATTTGGTAGATTTAAGAAATTGTTCTACGTAGGAGTAAGATGTGTACAGAGAGATTAGTTATGTTTTATTTCCAAGACTCATTTAATCCTAATAAAAGAATAAAATAACAGAACTCACTCTTTCACTTTTTACTGGTTTGAATGAGTCATATTTTCTGAAGAAGTTAATGATGATGCATATTTGAGACAAATATGCTACACCTTTCGTCCCATTTCAAAGTTCTTTTTTCAGTGTTTGAATAATCTTAAAGCTAACTCTTCCCCTATAATATTTAAATATATTTGAGTTAGTAATTAAAATTTATATATTCTAATATCTAAAACTAGACAAAGGTTCTATGGAATCTAAAAAAAAAACTAATTTGAAAACGAGATTACCATAAGTTTAGCGTCACTTTTTCAAATCTAAATCTAATCTTAACCAAAATCTAAAAAGAGATTATTTAGAGATTAAAAGAGATTTAATTTGACTGCTTGAATAATGTATGAGAACCCTAAACCAGGAATTAGTGCGTGGAGTCAAAATATGTACCCTGTTTTCATTTTAGTTTTTTAAATTTGTTTTCGACCATTTTCATTGTTGAATTGGGGTGACCTTTTGGTTTTAATTTGTTTCTGACTGAAATGCCTTTTGTACTAAAAAAATTGAAGTTTCTTTTATAAGTGACACTAATATCCATCTCTTACATAGCTTTTTACTTTAAAATGAGATACTGTATAATATTGTCTTGAAATTAAGTATGTTTTCCCTATAAAATTTTAGTTCATTTGCATTGATAACTACTAGTATGCTATAATTTCCGATTGGCTTTCTGGTTTCACAGAACTTCATCTAATCTTTCTGCCCTACCAACTGTTAAATAAAATTTATACAGAACTAAGTTAGGTATAGTTATTTTGACATTTTATTTTTAATCATATGAATGATTCAGGCAACACTGGGCGCTGGTTCATCTGATAAAAAGGCCATAGTCCAGTGTTCCATTGGAGGCAAGAAACCGATATATTTATGCTCTCTATTGCCCGAAAGACTTGAGACTTGCCCTCTGAATATTGAATTTGATGATGAGGATGAGGTCACCTTCTCAGTTAAAGGAAATCACCATGTTCACCTCTCTGGTTTCTTTTTGAGTGAATGTGGAGATTGTGATGAAGATGCGTACGGGTCGTATCCTTTTGCTTTCTGCTTCAATTGATTTGGATTTGCCTTTTCTTAAATTTGATGTTCTTTCTACCTATTTGACACTTTCAATGAGTGTTTTCCTTAACATTGTTATAAAGTGATGCATATGAGGATGGCTATGCCGAAAGTGACAGTGGTGCAGATGATTCTTTTTATGATTCTGAGGAGGATGAATTTGAAGATAGTGATATCGATATGTACCCATCTTCACCAGTCCCAAACAGTGGAGTTAGAATCGAGGAAATTGTAGAGGATAAGAATCTCACCAATGAGAATGATGTGTCCCAGGGGCCAAAAAAGAAGAAAAATTGCCTTCCTGAAAGCCAAGAAAACACTTATCAACAGATAGTTGTGAAGAGCAATAAAGGTGATCCTACGGTTGAAAGTGAAGATGAAGATGGCTTTCCGATAGCTACCTCAATTAAGACCAACACTGAAGCAGTGCCCAACAAACCAATATTACAAGAGAGTGATCACGGAACTGATGAAAGAGTCCAGAACGTAAAAAGAAAAATTGATGCTGTCGGGCAAACCACTGGATCCGAAAAGTGAGTTTTCCAATTTCCAGTTAAGTATGTCTTGGAATATGTACCTGTTCTAGTGCTAGTATTTTGTAAGCATTCGTACTTTCTGCATTAATTAAGAATATTTGGCGTTTTGCTCTTTTTTTTTTGTCTTGTATTTGACATTACTACATCAACCTGTATTTAAAATTACTATTATTTTCAGAAAAACTCTTGCATTTAAGTTACATATCGGTAATTCAGGGTGTAGCATTAGTTTGGCTGTTTGTAAATTATTGAACTCTATGAGTAAACGATGTTTGTTCTTGGATACAGTGCTAAGCAAAAGAAAAAGAATAAGAAGAAGAAGAAGGTTTCAGCTAGCGAGGATACTTGTTTGGAGAGCACTGTGCAATGTAATGATGCTGATGTTCATGATAAAGAGAAAGCTTCATCTGCTGAAAAGGAAACCAATAAGAAGACAACTAATGAAGTGTGAGTGAATAGTTATGTGACCTTTCTTGTGTTCTATTAAATTTGCTTGATAGCCTAGGTAATAGTATTTATCATTGATGAAGAGTTTATCTCTTTAACTGCATTTGAGTTGCCTACTTGCCTCAAAGTATCATGAAGTAGTAGCATTAGTTCTACACAAGTTCGAACTTCCCTCCATCACAACTAATTTTTATTAGAATGACTTCCCAGTAAGGTAGAGACAAAGAAGAAGAAAAAGAAGCAAGAAATAAATGGAGAGCAGAGCTGTGATAAAGAAATTAAATCGTCCATGGAAGTAGAGGAGAAAACTGACGTTAAGCCCTCAAAAGTGAGGACTTATTCTAATGGGCTTGTCATAGAGGAGCTATCAATGGGTAAACCGGATGGTAAAAGAGCTATAGCTGGAAAGAAGGTGACTCTATAGTGTTCTTTTACTTACCCTTTTCTTTTCCTTACCTCTTGTTTGCTTGGGGGGCTTTGAAGGGCAGGGTAACAGTTGTTTTATCAAGATGGAAAATAATGGGTCATCAAGCCAAGAACAGAATAACAGACCCAATTGTTCACATGTAGTTGTTTATAAACTGTTTCTTTTTTCAAAATAGTTAACCTTTGATGATTATTATCCATTTATTAGCATGCCAAACTACATTTGAATTTCAAACTTTCACATACTTTTGCCTACTATCACAGGTTAGTGTCCGCTATATTGGCAAGCTGAAGAAGAATGGCAAAATTTTTGACTCAAATATCGGCAAAGCACCCTTTAAATTCCGTTTAGGTATTTTTTTTTCATTCTATTTTTGTGATGAAACCATAATCATGGTTTCCGTTGCTCTAAATTTGTATGTCAACTTTCCATTTCAGGTATTGGTGAGGTTATAAAGGGATGGGATGTTGGTGTTACGGGTAAGCATATCGACTGTATTGAATATTAATCATATTCAGTTTGTTATAAACAATCAATCCTTTCTAATGTGTATATATAATATAACTTAATACCCAAATATCAGGCATGCGTGTTGGGGATAAAAGAAGACTCACCATTCCACCAGCTATGGGGTAATTTACCTCCTTTTCCCCACTGGATAATGCGATTCATTAATATTCAAAGCAAAAATCTCAATGATGTGTTATGTGCTCATGGATGTTCCCTCCACCCCACAAATATAGTGGTTTGGTTTAGTTTTTATATATCCATCCCTGCAATACACTTTCTTTTCTATCCCTATCAATCCTCAAATTATTGACTTTTTTCTGACTGCAGGTATGGAGAAAAAGGTGCTGGTGCGGTTATACCACCAAACTCATGGCTTCTTTTTGATGTTGAGTTAATTAACGTAAATTGATTGTCTCCCATATTTCTCTCTTTGGAAGTGTTATCTTTTTTCCCTTTTGGGCTCCTCTTTCCTTTTGTTAGAAATCAATTTTGGAACACAATCTAATATTGCAACTATATTATGAATTATTGAATGTGTTCGTTCAGACATTATAGTTCCATTGTTACTATGTATTTTTTCTCCAAAACACCAACATTTTGTAGTGTGGAATAGGGATATGATTTGGCTCTCTTCTGGTTTGTATTGTTATTATTAGTGTAAATGCGCACCCGAACCCATCAATTGAGAACCATATCAAAACATAATAAACATTAATATTTGGTTGTGTTAAACCAAGCCACTAAGCCAGAATTAGTGCTGGACTCGGGCGGACCGAACCGGGCCTGAACCGGCCCGGCTACTGTAGCAACCGGCCCGACCCGGTCTAGCGGGCCTCAGGCGGTCCGGGCCTACCCGGCCCGGGGATAGGGCGGTCCGGGCTCGGGACTTCGTAATCTTGAACCGGCCTGGCCGGGCCCGGTCCCGGCCTAACGGATCTTTTAAAAAAAAAAATAATTTTTTTTGGGCTTTCAAACGGCTCTAATAGCCGTTGGGGTGTTTGGGGACCTCCAAATGGCTCTATAGCCGTTGGAGGGGGGTGGGGGGAGAAAAAAAAACCCTATTTATACTCCTATTTTCTATACATTTGTTACACCTTCTTCATACAATCCTACTCTCTAATTCTCTACTCTCTAATTCTCTATTCTCTCAAAGCTCAATCTCTAAAATCTTCATTCATCTCCATCTTCATCTTCTCCAATTATCTCTACATATATATTATTTATAAAAATATTATTATATCTACTTATATATTTATTATCTACTTATATATACATATATTACATTACTAATATTTATTATCTACTTAATATATATTTATTATCTTCTAATTATCTACTTTACATATATATATATATATATATATTATATAACTTATATTCCTTATCTACTTAATCTCTACTTATTATTATATCTACTTATATATTTATTATCTACTTATATATACATATAGTACTTTACTAATATTTATTATCTACTTAATATATACTTATAGTAGTATTCAATATAAGTGTATTACTCATCTTATAGTAGTATACTTATATATTATATACTATAAACATTATATATAAAATATACTTATATATATATATATATAAAACATTATATAGATATATTCGAATTACTATATATATTAATACACTTATACAATTCTATTACCTACAAGTAGTTAATAGAATATTGTTACATTTTAATTAAAGTATAAAAGTAGTTAATTGTTGCATTTGTCATTTCGCTATTAGTTCATTTGTTAATTGTTACATTTTTCATTAAAGTGTACAAGTATTTAATTGTTATATTTTAGTTAAAGTATAAAACTAGTTAATTGTTGCATTTTTCATTAAAGTGTACAACTAGTTAATTGTTACATTTTAAATAAAGTATAAAACTAGTTAATTGTTGCATTTTTCATTAAAGTGTACAACTAGTTAATTGTTACATTTTAATTAAAGTATAAAACTAGTTAATTGTTGCATTTTTCATTAAAGTGTACAAGTATTTAATTGTTATATTTTAATTAAAGTGTACAACTAGTTAATTGTTACATTTTAAATAAAGTATAAAACCAGTTAATTGTTGCATTTTTCATTAAAGTGTACAACTAGTTAATTGTTACATTTTAATTAAAGTATAGCACTTTTATATTTGTTAAGATGGACCGTGGTAGACATTCTGTAGATATGGGAAATCTCCAACGCAACCGAAAGAAGGAGATTGCGAGAACTCATCCTAGTTTGCGCAAGAATACCGGGCAGTCCGGGTCTTCTTCTCAAAGTCGATAAGATTTTGAACCGGAATACCAACGGCGAGATGGCCATGCGATGTTCGACGAGCAACTACAACAACTAGTGGCTCAAAATGATGGACGATTTTTCCATCAACGAGACATCCCAGACGAGATTCACACCATTGACGAAGAAGAGCTCGAGGATGACGATCCGGAGGAGGACGCGGGGGGCGCCGGGAGTCACGGCACCCCGGATGAGGAGCAAGAGGCGGATGACGAGGGTGCTTCATCCCAAACAGGTACGAAATCTAAATCTCCTATTATAGAAAATAATTTTAAAAAGTATAAAGACCCAAGCACCGAGAAATGGTACGCAAGCTGCAACCATTGTGATAAGGTGTATAGCTTGGGAACTTCAGGCGGATACGGGAGCCTCAAAAGGCATCTTATGGGCAAGCACAAGGTGGAGTACGCAAAAATTGAGAAAGGCAAGGGGAAGCAAACACAAATATCGAGGTTTGCAAATAACCAACCTTATGGTAATTTCTCGTACAGTGATCAACAACATTTGACGGGTATGGCTAACTTTATGGTTGAAGAAAATTTACCTTATCTGTTTTCTGAAAGTGTTTCTTTTCAAGAGTATGCACAAACTTGTTTAAATCCTCAATTTCGAAGTTTTAGTCGAAAAACGGTTAAGAAAGAAATTATAAGGCTTTATAAGGCGGAAAAGGCAAACTTACAAATTTTTTTTGCAAACTATGATGGGCGTGTTACTGTTTGTTCTGACATATGGGAGGACACTTATCATAATTTACATTATTTGGGTTTGACTGCACATTATGTTGATGATGATTGGAATATGCATAAACGTGTTCTTGCTTTCGTGAATTTAATGATCGTCACACCGCTGAACATATTTATATTTTGATTGAGCGTATTTTAATTGAGTATAATTTGGTTAATAAGGTGTTTGCTATAGGTTTTGATAATGCTACTAATAATACTGCTGATATACCTAGATTGCGTGAATTGTGTGGTTCTACTACTTTGATGGGTAAATTTTTTCATCAACGATGTGCATGCCATATAATAAATTTATGTGTGCAAGATGGTCTAAAAGCGTTGGGAGATGCTATGGAGGTAGTGAAGGGGGGGATTAGACGTATTTGGGCTAATGGTCAACTTAAATTAAAATGGAAAAATTATTTGAATGAAAGAAATGTGAAATATGTTGCTTTTCCTAAAGATTTGTCTATTCGGTGGAATAGTTCTTATAAATTAATTAGAGTTCTTATTAGATATAAAGAACATTTTCCTGCTTTTTTAAAAGAATATGATAACTACATTTTAAACTCCGCTCACATCGACACTTGCGAAAAAATTTGTAATGTTTTGATATTTTTTAATAATGCAACTGAAAGTTTTAGTCATGTTTATAAACCTACTTCAAACGAATTTATGCGTGAACTTGTTAATCTCGCCGGTGCTTTTAATGAATTTGAAAATGCCGATTATGTGAGCTATTTTTGTGGTTTTATGAAGGAAAAGTTTTTAAAATATTATGCACATATTCCGCATATTTATGGTATTGTATTTATTCTCGATCCTCGTTATCGACTTGGTAATTTGGAACAATGTTACAAGTTCTATTATCAATCTTTTTATGGTGATTTTCCAATGTATGAAGATAACCCTATAGATCCGCAATCTGAATACAACGAGGTTAGTATTTTATTCTATTCTTTATTTAATGAGTTTCGTGCACAATATGGCAACGCACCCCCTCCCCCGACCCAAACATTTTCATCTAAAGGAAAATCACTTTTTAAATCTGCATTTGGCAATCTTATGAAAAAAACTAAAACAACTCACACTACTGAACAAAGCACAATTAATGAGATTGCTTTGTATACTAACTATGAGGTTGAGTTTGTAGAAAATGAAGAATTTGACGTCCTAAAGTGGTGGAAGTCAAAAGAAAGAATGTTCCCGATTTTAACACGGATGGCTAAGCAAGTACTATCAATGTCGGTTTCAACAGTTGCCGTGGAACAAGAATTTAGTTCGGCCGGCAACGTCCTAACTAAATCGAGAACGTGTTTGAGTGCCGAATCTCTTGAGACGCTTATATGCTACCACGATTGGTTGAAGGCAAGACGTAGAACTCAAGAACTTAGCATCACCCCCTCCCAAGACTTTATGGATGAATCAACCGAGGATGGTTCTACCTATGCCGGAGATTCCGATTGATTAGTATTTTACAATTTCTTATTTTATCCTCAATTCTCTATTGTAATTTGTCAACTTGTAGATTTGTAGTTCATATTTCAAATCAATATACATTATATTTTTTTATATGTCACAATTCTCAAATTAATCAAGTTACAACTTACAACTTAGATTCTTAGAAAGTTAGAAACTTACAATTAATTATATTATATTATTATTACTTATTACAAAATGTATTAGATTTAATTGTTCTCATTTCTCAAATGTAATTCCTATTTCACATAAATGCACTTGAAGATTGTTTTATAATATCCAAAAGATGTATATTTTAACAATAAAAAAAATACAGGCCCGACCCGACCCGGCAGTTCACCCGACCCGACGGTTCACCCGACCCGGGGCCCGGCCGGGTCACCCGACCCGAACCGGCACCCGTCTACTAGCGGGCCAGGCCCGGGCCTAACTTTTACAAACCGAGGCCCGGCCGGTTCGCGGCCCGAACCGGGCCCGAACCGGACCGAGTCCAGCCCTAGCCAGAATCATTGGCTCTAAACGCAACTGCTTTGCCCTGCCCACAGTTATGGTTAAGGTCCTAACCTTGTAGGAATCTGATCTGGTTGATACAAAATTGGGTCGAGCTCACTTCTAACTTATGATTGGCATTTGTCAAAGGGAGTTGGAGTCTTGGAGAAAAGATCCAATTATAGTTTCACACTTTCACCCATGTTCAGTCACTGTCTTTCCTTCCAACCAAACACAACCTTAGGTGAAACTTTAAAATTTGGGCTGACAAATGATGTTTTCATTTGGATTGGTTTATGAGTCTTGGACCAAAATATATTTAAATAGATCATATTAAAATAAAAATAAAATAAAAATAAAATTATACCAGTATCAAACTATGAAATTTTAATCCAAATCGAAACATCTTAAATGTATTCATAAAGGCTTTTTAAAAGAAGGTTGTATATTGAAAGGGACTTGCAAGTAGTTGCAACTTCATCTTTTGTTTTCATTTACATGTGTTAAAATGAGGATAGTATGATACTATGATATACTGTTACATCAGAAAGTGTTATAAAAATGAAGTAGAAAGTGTAATAAAAATTCATCATAAACTAATCTTTCTTTCAAAGTATAATTTTTATATAAACGAACTAGTATAAATCTAAACTCAAAAGAAAAGTTTTTACATTTCTCCTTATAAAAGTATATTTTTTGTAATTTTGA